CATCAACTGAAAGGACATAAAATACATTCAAGACTGAACAGAGAAGCAAGAGAGCTGTAAGTAAAAAGACAACATGATTCAGTTGATACAACATGACACGGAAAGTATTGTACATTTTAGAACTCGAAAGCCGCTACCAGTTGCAGGCCTGAACTTGACAGCAAGTTCCTATGAGAGGGCTAGAGTTACCCGACATCCAGGTTCTCCACAGTTCGTCTTGGTACAGCCTTAAGTTCACTTGTCACTTACTCACTTTTGTGACAGAAGAGTTCACACGAGAGGTCGTCTCCATCTGGTAATTCGTAAGGTTGAATCACTTACTGACATCTCTAAAGCCTTCCGTCCCACTGAAGGCACTCAAGACCCCTGGAATGGCATCAGTGGCACGCAGTACCAGACACCGACCCAAGGGCACCATCCACTGTTAAGGTGTGCCGTCATAAAAGCAGGTGTAAGGAGCTATCTTTGGCAAATATTAACCCGCCACTTCAACAGCCTTGCAAAGCTTAGTAGGCACTAACAATACTGCAACTCGCTTGAGCAAGAGAACACAGAGCTTTGCAGAAACATGAGGTGTTTGTTTCTTAAACAGTCACTGTAACAAACACAGAACAACATACTTTAATGGGCTACAGTTAATCATCTATAAAAAGTGTATGTTCAGCATGAATTTAAATTGTAAACTGGTGATAAATAATACAGTATCTCTGAGCACATTTAAAAATACACATTATGAAGTAAAATTTAATTTTCAGATAAGCTTTCAACCTTTTTGTTCAAAAACACATTTAAACAATCCTTTACAAACAACTGCAGCCAGTCTGCCTGCCTGAAAATTTTGATTTATGAAGCCCTCCTGCCTAGTACAGAACACTTATTTGCATTAACTTTCTGTCCTTTTTTTTTCTAAGGCAGATTAAGTTAAGAGCTGAATTCACAAAACTGTTAATGTAGCAACTACCTTAAATTATAATTTATTGTAATGGATGTAATTTGTTTCAATTCTAGTTTATTTAGTAATTATATAACTATGCAAATATCCACTAAAGTAAGCTACTGTGAAGACTGCAAGTACCAGAGTCAGAGCAGTAGCTAGACCTAGATTTAAAATGCACATATTTCTTTCTGGATAAGAAAAGGCAGGCTCCCTCTGGGCACGGAAAAGGTCTCCATGCACCTCTCTGCTAACTAGTCATTGCCATCTGCCCGTTAGCATGAACCTGGCTAAATGTTACGTTCAATGGGAATAAGAAGCAGCACACTGCACCATTTCTCCAAGGCTGTTAATTTTGAACTGTACTGTTGAGAGCAGTGCGGCATAGCTAACTTGGCACACCAGTATTTCAAGAAATACAGGCTTATAGACAGTAGCAAGATAGCTGAGTGGAGCAGAAAAACCCTTTCTGTAACACACCCTTTGTGCGCAGAGATCCTCCCAGCTGATCTCATGAGCTCCCTACGCAGAAGGTATGAGAGCACGTTGAGCTTCCTCTCTTCTCACATCCTCCGTAGTGAGAGGTGAGAGAAATGACGTCTATCAACCACTGTTCACAACGGCCTCAGTGACCCTCTTGGCAGCTCATGTGGAAGATGCAATTTCTCAGCCATATTCCTTTGTACTCCCCGTGCCCTGAGGCCAGGATCTGGCCTCTAGGCAGTCTGGGCAGAGCTGTGAAACCAGGTGATTCACCCCATCTGTCCCAAAACAGCCTTTCCCCGTGGGAGCTGTGTGTGAGTGTTGTGGGCAACCTCAAGAACTCCAACTGCTTTCATCTGGAGTTTATAAAAAGGACGGTGTGTTTATGTTACTACTAGTAGTAGGAAATGTCACCTGATGAATAGGAATCTCCTTCCAAATGCCTATTCCTATGTATTGTCACTAAAAAAGCTTCAGAAGGTCATACTCTATATCAATCCATTCCAGAAGGCATACATAGGACAAGTAAGAAAACACCTTTATATGAAAAATTTGTTAATACTACGTCAAAACGTTAAAGGCGCTGATGTTTGAATACATTCCTAATATTTCATAAGCAGGAGGTTTTCACTGCTTTAGAAAACTAGGAATATTGCAGAGGAAGACAAAAAAGACAGGTGTCAAAAAGAAGTTGGAAAGAGAGCACCATATGAACATCATACTTAAATTTTTATGTGCATTTAACAAGCTAATTAAATATTTCACGATGTTATATTGAAATTTAAGTAAGCTACCTAGGATAAAATCCTGGCCCATCTGAAGTCAATGGTAAGAGGATTTTACCTGCAATTCTCACTATCTTTGAGAAGATATTAAAACAAAAAGTTATACATTGAGGCTTCAGTGAAAGGCTTCAATCAAAAAAGAAGAGTAAGAAAAGAACATGTTGCTTGTTTTTTTTTAAAAAAGTACATGCCATGTAAATTAATCTATATGGCAATCTGGTCTATGAAGCATTGAATGCAATACCATACGTAATTCTTAGCTTTATGTTCATTCATTTATCATTTAGCAAGACGCTTCTACAGCTGTAAATCACTTTTAAATTTGTATCATTAACTTGTACACTGTTGCTTCATGAAAGTGCAAACACAAGATTTTAGCAAACAGTGCTGTATTTTTTTTCACGTCACATATACAAAAGGATATAAAAATAGCTCCTTGACTGATATAGGTTAATATCCTTAAGCCACAATGAAAACAAATATAATACAGTATTATAGTGCAGGTATTCCTTTTATTACAGGAACAGTATCTGTGGGATACACTCATCCAATCAAGGGTTCCAAAAGCACATCCTTAAAGTAACCAATGTATTTTCAATTAATTGATAGATATGGTCTTCAGTGAGCTGCCTTGACAGTAAGAAAAAAGAGACATGGAATTTAATCTAATCTTAGTTACTCATATTCCATCACACTCTTCTGCTTGCTAACTGGGAAATATTTCTAAAAACTGCCATGATGTTCCTCATGGACCAAAAAGCAAGTGAAATTTATAAAACAGTACTCTAAGAAGTTTGAACAAACACAGCTGCTAGTCTGAACATGTGTAACGCAACTATTTTGTGATTCAGTGTTGTAAATGTAGTTTATATTTTAAACTTTTAATAATTCTAGCTGCATATAGAACAGAGAAGTAGTAAGTTAAATTATAGCACCTTGCGTGAAATTTGTTCTAAAAAATACAAAGATTACACCTTCTAAAATTGGAAGAAATACAACTATTCTAGCCCAAGTCCACTATGCACCTGTCATTTAAAAGGAAACTAATTTACATGTAATGAAGACACGCATAAATATCACAAATTTAAGGCACAAAATGGAATTTGAAAGTTAGGCATGTAGTAAATCCTTGCTTTTTCATCAAATTACCTCATACACTAGAAAAAGGTGTATCTACAATTTTCAAAAAAAAGCTGTATTATCATAGAATCATTGAAGCTAAAAATGGAAACTGCCTATCCAAGTACGTAGTTCAAACTCTTGCTAAGGAAGATTATTTTCCACTATTGCATTACATCCAGCTTAAAACCTTCCAAGAAACTGTATACATTGATAAGTAGTTCTGTGTCATTCCATAACCTAACTGATCTTTCTCCTGATATTCACTGGATATTTACCTTGTTTCAAATTTATATAATCACTTCTAGTTACAAATTCATACTCAGAAAGCCTCTTCCTTTACATGTATTTGTCACTTAAAAAAAAATTATACATACTTAATGACTCAATCTTACCAACTTCTTTCTCACTTCAACTGATTTTGTAATTGTTCTCTGACTTTCCAGAAGATTGACTGAATTCCTCACCCCGAGGTACTCAAAATGTAAGACCATACTCCAGAAATGACCTCAGCAATTACAAGTATTCTGATTTCCAGCTGCCTGATGCAGCTCTTCTCCATATATACTCTTCTTTTGACATTAGTGATGCCAGAAGCAACGTTGCTGCCTACATTATCAAGGCCTCTTACTACATTATTACATCTCAATCTTCTTTCTCTCTCATAAGTATCCAAGTTTCCCCAAATGCATTACCTTTTCTCTGAATCTCTTAGGCTGCGTCTAATTCTTGTCTACGTGTAATCCATCTACTGGACCTCTCTCACTCAGGTATCATGTAACGTAATTTCATCTGTAACTTTTGTTAATATACTGTACATCCCTCTTGCAGATTATTGAAGACATTAGATAGAATTAGGTCAACACAGTATAAACAATTAATGGGGAGGGAGCAATTAAAGTTGCACAATGGGATGATTCAAAGCACAATTTACATTTTAAGATGCTATTTCAAATATATTTTATCCCACTTAGCTATTTATAAGAATTTAAATATCTCACTATAGCTACAGTTTCTAAATGCAATACCGTAATTTTTCTGCATACATAATTAAATGTAGAGTAGGAAACATGCTGACAATCAGTATTCCTCTGCAAACGAGTCCCATTCCATCCACTGATCAGAGAAAGGTAGGCACATCAAGTCTACTCCTCAGCACAAACTTTTAACCAGTTAATATTATATCTATTATTCTACATGTCTTTAAAATTACAAATGAAAATAAAGAGAGATCTAAATTTGCACTGACAACCTAGAATTCTGCTCCTTTCAAAAGTCCTTCTGGAATTCTACAGTGTGATCCTGTAATTCAAAGAATGTTGAACAACATGCTAACAGTACTTATAACTGGAAAGGTATTATTTAATATAAAGCTTAAATAACTTAGTCTATGAAAAACATTATTACCTAATTTATGCTCTGTTTTCCAGAAGACTCTCTTTCAGTACAACTTATCAACCCTCCTTCTGTTCTTGATTATAACTACAGGTCATAACAGAACTGTCAGAATAGAAAGCACAGTAGCCAGCTATTCCAATTCTTAATGCTATTTGTCAACCTACTGAAAATAAGAAAATAATTTGTCTGAAGAAATGAACAATTAAAAATCAAAGTGAAAACAAGGATGAAAAGATAAGTCTGAAGACATACTGTAAAAATAATACAGTCCATGCTATTTTATGCACACTTGTTTATTCTTGTTCCATGTTTTAAAACTTGGACTCAGAAAAATCACAGGAAGTTTTGTATTTTTACCCTCTTTTTTTCCATTAAAAGCACCATAGTTACACGGCTTGATTCAATCATCCTTTTCCACAATTACTTCTCCATGAAGCACCCTTCTTCTCTGCCGCAGCATGTGGAAGTAGAGTTGTGGAAATACTTGATCAAAGCATACAAGAAAGCAAATTAAATGAAAAAATTCAACACATCACATAACGGAAAAATACAATTTTGCAGAATGATGAACTGAGGAAAAATTATGGCACACAGTGCTGCAGCTGGTTAAGGTAAATGATAGCAAGTTATGAACATTGCTGTGAATTACAAAACAATAATTACTCAAAAGTCAGACAAGGCCCCCTGAATATACAACCCGTGTTCAAGGAACTTTCCTCCAACACTTTCTTTGTATAAACAGGACTTAACCACTTGCTGGCGCTGCCTGAAGCCTTCAAATCTGTGCTAAGGTAAGCATGTTTGAATTAAGACTTTGAGGAGGATATGTATTTACCCTACTTGTTCAAGTCGGAAGCGAGGAGCTCCCTCTCTCCTGGCCTTCTGAGCTCTATTGTACTATTGTCCTGCTGATCCATTTGATCCTTATATTTAATGGATAGAAAATCAGATTTATTCCTGAAGCATTACATTATACAAACACTTGTAAAACTCTTAGTAGGTTATGATATCTTAGGACAGTTTTTATTCATATAAATCACTCTCATTGGCCTTCACGATTTCTTGTGACAAAAAAATCTCACAGTGTGTGTACATACTGTGAAATTCCATGTTTAAGGTCAACTTCTTAAACAAACACATTTTATGGATGCAGATCACAGACCCTTTTAACTTCGGTTTTCCTGCTTCTCAATGCCTCTCCCTCATCTCTTGCCTTTTTTCTAGCCTCATTGTCCATATTATCTAAAATATTCTATTTGCCTAGTTTGGTCTAGCCCCACTCATGGTGCCGTATCTGAATCAGGTTGCTTTCTCCTTGTCTGCGCTGCTTAGGTACCAGTGTTAACACGGGAAATGGAAGTCTCTCTGATCTTAGCTCTGGTTAGACAATGGATCTGTGGCTTCTGGTATCCAGCAGTACAAGGACAATCTGATTAAACCAGGGACTGAAGTATATTCAGAGAGGTGTGGGGGGTGGATTTCTGTACAAATGAAATCTTGGAGAATATTGTTCCAAGTTTTTCCTGAGCATGCTCAAATGGTGATTTTCAGAGGTGACACGTAAATGGATATTAATAGCAATAAAACCAAGGCAAATCTCTGGCACAATTTGCAGGACAATTTTTAAGCCATTGCTTCAGAGTGGCAGAGGCACTAGAAATTCTCAGCAACACAGTTACAAACATTTGTGTGTAAGCAAAAAAGGTTTTTTTTACTTTGTCCAAGTTTTAGAAATGTTTTTAGCATTTTCACTTAAAATTTTTAAGACAGCTTATGTTCTGAGGCAGATAACAGGATGGAAAATTTCAGTCTAACCAATTAAAGCAGAGCAAAGCTTGGAACAACAGAAAGCAGGTAGAAAGCGTTCAGCAAATTTAACTACAGGCAGTGTTTCCAGCATTGCTGATAATTGATAATTATGTTAGCGTTACTATAGTTAAGTAATACTTACATGGCACATAGGAGAACATGACAATAATAAGGAAGTAATAGTAGTCAAATGAGACATTATATTTGTTGGGAAGTCTCAGTGAAAACATTCCTGTTTTCTTCACATAGGGTAAAGCAGCATATATGGTTAGCAGTTCACCTGCAACTCCAGCAGGATACAAAATGATAAAAAAGTTGTATCTGCATTAAAAAAAAACCAAACAACATTGTGAGAAATGCCCCACGAATTTAAAATTTCCTCTAGCTATTATTAGTGGCACAGCAATGTATTGCAGTAGTTCCTGCACCAAAATCAAGGACCACATCCAGACTTGGCACAGAATACCAGTTGCAGTTACTTTGGATAGCGTTGCTTAGGTTTACAGAGAATGCATTCCTCAGTCCTTTTATTTAAAAACAGTGAAGTATCAGAATGTTTGTATGCCTTTCTAATACTAAAGAGTAAAAAAATCTGCAAATTTGTAGTCTCCAATAATGTCTTTTTTTTAACTTACTGATCTTGTTACTGTTGTCACCGACAGGATTCAGATGAGGACTGGATCCCGAATTCAGATGATCCTATGTATCTTTGTCACAGTGCACACACACTGGGTCAACTCCATGTATTATAATTTCTTTGAAGATAATGAAAATGTTGAGAAACATCAGAAGCCTGTTTTACCCATGGCCACATGGGAAATCCAAATACTACTACGTTTACCACTAATGGAAATGGAAATAAAAAATAAAATAAAATGACAGTGCCAGCAACGTATCAGATCCATTTTAAAATGGGAAGATATTCTAATAAAAGGCGAAGGCATTCAGTTTAAAGAAAATGTGGTTTGAAAGCCATAGGCCACATAGGCGGTGACAAAATGAAAAACGTAATCAATAGGCTTTGTGCTGTCCTTACGCATAGTGCACCGTGGGGATGCAGTTTCTCCTAAGGAACAGCTCTCAAGTTCATGCAGGGAGCAGCAAGAGAGCTGTCACACAGACAGAAAGGCACAGCGTGCACTCCATGACCAAAAGAGATGAGATCCAACACAGCAGCAACCAAATATGAAACCCTCCTTGGAGCAAATGGGCTTAGTGGACTCACAGGTCAGAGAACAGATATGGGGAGGTATAAGGAACTGATGCCATGACCTACACACAGTTCGTCTCTATGCAGTGAGGAAAAAAACCTCAAGTAAAAATTCTGAACTAAAATTTAGAGCACACCTATCCCATTCACATCGGACAGGCAAATCTTTTACAATTATAAGCTAAAGATCAGAAATTTCCAGCTCCCTTGGAGCACCGAATTTATGCCCAGTTGTACTGTTTGATTGTCCATAAATCTTGATGGGATATTTTGGACTCTATGAAAAGAGAATATATTTTCAAATGTTCTGTTTATAGTATATTTCACCACATATCTCTGTTATGACAATGTCAGTTTTCTCTATTGTCTATTATAAGGAAACAAACATTCTGTCATTCAAGATAGACTGACTTGATGGGAAAAATTGTATCTGTCAGTGTAGTACTTTCTGAATGCATTTCTGTTTCTGAAGCCTACATAAAAAATTATTAATGAAACCAGACCTGATTATTTTTAAGTTTGCCATTTAGTGCTTAAACATAACCAAGCTTACCACCTCAGGTATTAGCAAAAAGATAATGTGTTATAAGAATGGACATAAATATCAGACATATCAAAGAAGTGCATTAGAAGCATCAGAACTGCATTACCTATAAAGCAAAAATAAAGGAAAATAAACAAACACACTC